TATCAGTCAACTTCGCTTACAAACCATGGTTATTCTATTGCTCTGGTAAAAAATTTTTTATAAACTTCTTTCTCATCAATAATATTTGGTTATTTAAGCGAAGGCTCGATAACATCGCTTTCAAATCTAATGAACAAAATATTTTAGATTTCTCAACTTTTATATGAAATCTAAGCAACTAATCTAAACCATTCAATAAAGCATTCAACTTTAGCCCTTTTTTTTAGGCTCTTTTGTATTGTGTTGGGAACTCATGCACACGAATTTACGATGAATTTTGCACCCAAACGAATAGCGAATGTGGTCATAATATGGTCTACAAGACTGTTGAACGATTAATTTACACCGATGAAACATTAAATCTTGAAACGTGCATTCAAGAGTGCAAATGTATCAGCGATGAATATGTGCAGAGCAATGGACAGTGCATTAAGCAAAACAACATTCCAGCATTGCGAAATGAAACTGAGGTCTTTTGTTGTGTTAAATTCTTTGCTGAAGTATAATAAAATTGTCAGAATTTTTTTATAAATTATAAATTTTTATAAATTTCAAAATTTTGCCAAATTCATTAATTATTATTGTTTGAAAATTGTAAAGAATCATTTTAATCAAACAACAAATTTATTGCAAAAATATACTAAAATTAACAGAATTTTTTCATGAATTTCAAAATAATATTAATAGTCATTGTTTAAAAAATGCGAAAAATACCAGCTGATTAACAACGAAATTTTGCCCATCTTCAACGAATTTCTGAAATTTTGCCCAAACATTGTGCAGGTAGACTGTGAAGAAGACACTTGACGAAAAAATCTCTGATACTTCGTGTTCATTAACAGGGCAGAGATGTGGAATAAATACGGTCTTCAAAACCGTACACCAGTCTTTATGCCTTGGTTTGCTATCTTCAACAGTTTGTATTCAGCAGTGCACTTGCGTCGTGCACTTGTGTGAAAAAAGATGGACAGTGCATTAAGCAAAACATCGTTCCCGTAAAAAACGAAGCTAAGGTATTTTTTAAACCAAATTTATTGCAAAAATGGACTAAAATTAATAGAATTTTTTCATGAATTTCAAAATTTTGCCAAATTCATTAATTATTATTGTTTGAAAAATTTGAAAATTCACTATTTAAATGCTATATTAAGAAACAGTATCAGTATTTGATTAGCAAAGACGAAGTTTTGTCTATCTTTAGTTTCGAGTTGAAATTTTGCCTAAACGCTGTGCGGGAAGAGAGTGTGCACTTGACAAAGAGATTTCTGATGTTTCATGTTCCCTAACTGGAAAAATGTGTGGAACCAATATGATATTTGATAAAGTTGGTAAATCAAACGAAACAAATGGTACTAAAATTTGTGTTCAAAGATGTACTTGTATGAATGAGGAATACTGCAACACTAATTTCAACCCAATATTCCACAATTACCAATATTCCACAATTTCCCATGAGGCAAACCGCTCAAAAGGTGATAAATTTGTGATTTTTCTTATTTTTCTATAAGAATTGAAATTTTGTCAATTCCAATGGCTTATCATGTTTTATTACCGCAATAAATAAATTTAGAATAATAAGGCTAACATAATTTATAAAAATTATTAAGTTGAGATTTTCATTAAATCTTATTTTTATTACTATAATAGCGTTTAAACTCAACAATTTAATAATTTTAGTTTTAGTTTTCTAAAGCTTGGAAAATCATCTTTTAGTTTAGTTATTTTTGATTCGAATGAGAATTCGGCTTGATTTTCAACGCTTTATTTCTCATAAGCAAAAGTTACATAATTTAACGACAATAGTATCAAATATTTGGTTCATTACTAATGTAAAAAAGACGAACAAACGAATCTGAACTGTGGTTATAATATGGCCCACAGGACTTTTAATAAATTATATAGCACTGACTCCATGTTGGTTCCTATAATTTTTATAATTCAATTTATAAAATATTATAAAATATTATATCGGATGTTTTCGAAAGTTGTTCATCGAAAAAAAGCGAATGAATTTCTTTTCAGACTGGTGCAGAAGCCAAAGCAAGAAAATTTATTACTGATATTTCTACTTATTTGTAATTTTAAATGCAATTTTCAATTAATTCCATCCAAAAATATTCAACATCTGAGCGAATTGAATTGATGTTGTTTCCGTAATAACCTCTGCTTCCGTGGATTTGCATTTCTTTTCAAGAAAAACGATTTCCTATACATTTTGCTTTCTCTCTTAAACTAATGGAATTTTCAGTTGGAAATCTTATCGTTAAATCTGCTTCAACTTTATAAAATTTCAACTCGAAAATAATAATTCGCTAAATTTTTTCAGTGCGCATTAATGCTCAAAAATCTTACGTATAAATATGCATTCTATTAACACAAATAATCGTCGCAATATTGTCAAATTGCTAATAGAATATTTATATTTTTATTATGCCGCTTTTTGACAAAATAATGATTTGAATAAATTTATGATTCGAATGACAAATTAATTTTTAAACATTGAATTCATAGAATGAATATTTTATTTGGTTTATTTTTGATTAAATTATAACAAAAGCCGATTTTTTGAATAATTTTTATCATAGCTAAAATATTTTTAAAGATTGAACATTATTTTAATAGAATTAATCTTTTAAAAAAGTTTTTCAAGAAAAAATTACAATTTTTGTATTTCTTAGGCTTTTTGTATTTAAAAAGGAACCACAAGTTCCTGCATTTCCTTAAAAAAATTAAGGAAAACAATTGGTGAAATCAATTCGATAATGCGAATGACAGCGAATAATGAAAGAATGATTCAGTAGGTTCTCAATTTATCATATTGGTTCCATACATTTGAATAATCAGAAATCTTTTCCCGCGAGGTGTTTCGGCAAAATTTTAGCCCACACCGAATAATCCAGTAGGTTCTCAAGTGATTCCTAAATGGATAACATCAAAAACGAGGAAGGCCCATCATTTTGAACTTATAAGATTAAACCTGTATGGGCTTAGGCACTGAAAAAAAAATTACTGGCTTTTATTACTTTCAACAATGTCATCAAATTTTGAAACGTCTTGTTTTTAGCCAGACTGATAAATATTAATGGCTATTAGAAAAAGAAGTTTATGACCAAAATTTGATAAAGATTTGATTAGATAGCTGCCACAATTTAATAACGGCTACGAGTCTATTTTGAAAGACATTCTCCATCTCTGAAGATGAATTTGACGGCGCTTAACATATCATATATCTTGGCATTTCATTTTTTCCTCCGTACATCATATCTCTTTTTTCATCACAAATTGCCGGGACACAATTCATTTAATCTTATTTTTTTTAAGAGTGAGTCCTCACCATTACTGATTAAACTCGCTTCAGTGGCTCGTCGCATTATGCCATGGAGTCTTTTGGCGATAGAAATACAGATGAGTCGCCAGCATCACCCGGATTCTTGTGTAGGCTTACTCCTGTGCGGAATCGAACATCAGCATTGGCGCTCCAAATTGAGCAACACTGAGCCATCCTATCTCTCATTTCCTATTATTCACGCATTTCCTTTCAATTTATTCGTTTCCTCACACTAATTTTACTGATTTCATTATATTACATCAGTAGCTTTTACAGTGATAGGCTTTACTCACAAGTCCATTCTGCTTTTTTTTCTTTAAGAGACCTCATCGTTACATGCTAGACTCGCTTGTCGCACTAGACAAATATGCCAGGAAGTCTCACTGATAGTAAGGATGAGCATCGCCAGCATCAAAACTTGAATCATGCGACAGGTTTACTCCTACTCCTATGAGTAGAATTTAAGCATCGGCGCTCTGGATTGAGCGACATCTCAATGAGCCATTCTAATTCTTCTGCGATGGCTGTTTTTGCTGATATAACGCTGTTACGACTATTTATGCAAGCGAATGTTTCATAATTCCATCTTCATTATTCGAAACTTTGGTTAAAAATATCAAAATTTTCGTGCAATGAAAAAAATAAAAGAAATTGAGTGATAAATTTCGTATGTTTTATAATGGTGGAATTTCAAATTGATTTTTTTAAGATTAAAATTATAATAGAATTTCGAATTTTCGAATTTTGCATATTTCCAAGTTAAAATCTGCAAAATATACTGAAATTTAGTAGTAATTAATTGAGCCAAAGCCAAATAGTGGAAAATATGCATAAATTGTGGGTTTAAAAAATAAAAATATGAATTTGATAAAAGTGAACAATTAAATATAATTAAATAAATAATAAAATTTACTAATTTATGAAGAAAAATTATTAATTAAACAATAATTATCTTTAATATTTCGTTATTTGTTGTAAAATATGTATGACGTAGTGGCATTTAATAGACTTAGGGAGAACCAACAGAAAAATTAATATCGAATCGATTCTGTGAAATATTATCTTCTTCGATTATTATTTTTAAAAATCAAAAACATCGAAAGCAAGGTTTGGATTTTAAAAGAAAATTTTTGTCTTAAAAAATTGGATAATTCTATTCGTAGTATTTCCGATGATTCAACAGAAAAGGAAGGAACGGTATGAGAAGGAATACCTTTTCTGCATTGCACATATCGAAATGGCCCTTTCGTTTTGCTTTTACTAGTAACCTGAAAATAGAAATATTTCACTGGCGAAGAACGAATTCCATTTCGAAAATATTCGACACGATGGGAGAATATCTTTTGCATTAAACGATGCCTATGAGATGAAATGGTTCAATAATTAATTTAATGGATTGAATGGATTTGATTATTAAATGATTGAGAATCACCACTATGTCCTAATGGTAAAAAATTTTTTAAGATAAAATTACTTTCATGGAATCGTTTTAGATTTTATTTCAATCTTTTAGGCAAAATCCTACTTCTAATTCCAACTCTCACTAAGAACAATTACTCTAACTTTGCTAGTTAGAAGGGCGAGAATCTTCGTCCGTCCCTTCTTCCACTATCATATATGGCCTGATCGTCTGAGGATTTAAAATTTTTTCTGACGGTATCAGTCAATTTCCCGATAGGTGCTTTCGACATCAACAACATAAGGCTTTAAAATTAGCAATAAAATTAGCGATGTATCAATTCTCGAATAAAAGAACATGGCCAAACATCTATTTGGCAGTCAGTGATAGTGATACTGGCTATAAAGGGTAATTAAACAAAGGCAAATGCAGTGATAAGAATTCATTCAGCATGAATTGTCAAGGATTGATCTAATATCTTCTACTCTTTCTGGCAATATTTTTTACAGCCTCTACACCAATCAGATAGTTGATTTGGCCGCGATTCCTTGAAAATTTCATTGCATGAAAGAATCCATTTTGAGCAGTTAGTAGATTTGCAGTTTCGTCCCTTGTTTGGCTATTTGGTGTAAAAGTGGATCTAAGATATTAAAGTTTTCTCAGCTATGATGAATTGAAATACCGACATTTCATCAGCGTTTCTGCTATGTGAAGCAAANCTCGCACTCGCATGTAAAATGGATCACGAATCTACGCGAATGACCGCAGTTTAAGCGAGTATCTAAAGCTAAAGATAAAGTCAAAAATGTCTTATCAAATGGCTGTTGAAATTAAGAACTACAATTAACATCGAAACATCGAAAGAAACTTTGCTTATATGTAAATATTTCACCTTTTGAGTAATTTCTTCAATTGGAAAATTGCAAATCTTTGCTACAAAATTGCTGGCAGAAAGATAATTTATTTCCTTTTGCTATTTTGTGCTTCAATTTTGAGTTCATAATTTGCTGATAAAATAAAATAAAGTTTATATTTTTAGAAAGCTGATTAATGGTGGAGAAATTGCGAAATTTGCCCATAGGGTTGCATGCGATTAGAGCTGACTGTATCCTTTCAGATTTACGAGTCGACATTACATTGATTTAACCAGTACTTTTTAGCCAAATGAAATGTAATGACTGTATTAAACGCAGAATTACGAAGAGAACGTATGGATATTTGGGTTGGTAATTACCACCTACTTACGAACACATTCCGACACTCCACACAGTTACGACTCCACATCATCCACATATGTCCAATTCCTTGGTTGGCATTTGTTCAACATCCTTAAACCTTCCTCAATTACAGTAATTCCATCGGTGAAGGCCAGTACTGTCCTTATGCTCTTTCCAAAGTGCTTACCACTACTCACCTGACTAACTTATCAAATAAATTGATGCATCAAATTAATGTTACATGGCTAGAAATATAGTCGTCAGCATAAACCAGAATTTTTAAAAAATGGATTTATTAATTAGTGCCGCGCATAAAAACTTTTGCAAGGGCGCTTCAAAATGATAGTAGCTATGCAATTCCAACCTTTTTTTGCTTTGGACATTCGGCGAAATTGCAGCTCGATGAAGCATCGGCAGATTTCGAAGCTGAGCCATTCGTGATATAAGTTTAGCAGCACTAAGCCACCGATACACCTATGTAAATTTGCAACTGTATGAGGCCTATTTGCATTTTTTTTTTGAAGCTAATTATGAATTAAATGTTAATTATATATTATATATTAAAACTCGAATAACTTGATAAATATAAATCAGAATAAAATTTACTAAATTCAACGAAATAGACCGGAAAATAGTATAAAAATTCACCGTAGAAACCATTAAAAAATTGCCATGCTTCACATCTACGTGCAAAATTTATAATCTCCAGAAAATAAATTTTATAATTAATCAAATGGAGGAACGATCATTAATGGAAATTATATCAAAATACAGATCGGTTATATTATAATAATAATGTTATCACAGAACATCGCCTTCGATGGTTAGGGCACATTCTCCGTCATCCACCACAAGATATTTCTTTAATTACTAAACCTTGTGATGATTGGTGTCAAAAGTGAGGTGGACCAATCAAGACCTGGACGGTCAGGAAAAATTTTGAATGTATAGGTGCACCATCAATATATGGACTTAGAAGATGGAAAAAGGAATGGCTTCTATTACTGTCGACGATGGCATCAGACCACGCAGCTTGAAAGCATCTTACTCTTGTAGCCGTTGGAGTTGGCTTGACCAGTGATGGCGAGAGCTGTTAGAAGAAGAGGAAAAGTTGAAACTTAATAACGGCTTTAGTTTTAACTCATTTCACTCTATTTTGAATATTTGTCGTAAACTATTGAAATTTTTCACCATTAGTCCTAAAATTTGAAAACTTCAAATAAAAATTTCAAAATTTTCCAAATCAATTCCAAAACATTAGAACGAATTATTAGAAAGAGTTGGTGTTATACGTGCAGAAAATCATAAATTTCGACTTGAAATTATATTACAATAGAAAGGTTTGTGATTAGTGATTATTGCTCAATAAATCGTATAATAAAACCACAAATTGAATCAAATTATTCAGTTTACTACGATATTATTCCAGAAAATAAAAATTATATAAATATTATATATTATATTATATATTATATTAAATAAATATTATATATTATATCGCATCTAATATGGAAAGGTAAATAAATGGCGGATGAACACTAACCCTAACTAAAGACATATTTACAAAAGTCAGCCAGTTCAACACTAGAGTATACTAGTAGGAAACTAGTTGGGTGCCAAAAGCAACGGTCAAACTATCTGAAAAAGCTGCCAAAGCCTGAACGTCAGGAGATCATTCTGACTATCTGGTGCTTAGATGGATTACAACGGCAGAAGCATGGCAGAACAGAAATCGCTATTGGAGCCATATAGCCTCCCTATTGGAGTGGAGATAGTAACTCGGTTTAGGTGATGATAGGAAACTGTTTCATCTTCACAAAACAAAAATAGTTCGAGAAAGAGTCAGTGATATTAATGGGGTGCCCCTATTAAGACTATTAAGGATCGCCTCAGAAACACCAACTTCTATCAACCCTTTGATTGAGAAAGTGTCTGACCGTAAATATCTTGGATTTACTCTAATCCCAAATGGTAAGGAATGAAATTGCTACCTGGACAACGACGGCCACCATATTTTGTTACTTGCCGAACCCTTTGATGATTAGTATTAAAAGCAACGAGGGCCAATCAAGACTGGACCGATATCAGGAAAAATTTTCTATAGGAGGACCAGCGTTATATGGACTTAGAGAGAGATATTAGAAGAGAAAGAAGAACATAAAAAGATAACAGGTAATATTAAGTGATAGTATCAATAAATCTTTAAAAAAGTTGGCTCCGAAAGGTTTTTTCAAAAATTCGTTGCAACTTGTTTTCTAAAAACGCTACCATATCTGATTAGACTCGTTATGGTGTTTATCACAGCAGCAAAATTTTGGAACAAACTATTGCGTGGTAGAAATATAGATGAGTTGAAGTAGTTTTTTGAAAGGCGAATTTCCTCTGTGAATGGGCAGAACGGCAGAATCTTCGAAAATTATGAATGCCCTACAAGAAGTAAAAAATTTAGAGATAAATTTTAAAAAAGATTTATTATCAAAATATTCTATTAAAATAGAAATCGCGATTTATAAAAATGCAACAACAAATTATAACAAATGAACCAAAGTACTTTCAAAATTACTTCAAAAATAGATCATAAATTTTCAAAAATTGAAAATTGATCATCATAGTTCGTCCAATTCATTGAACAAGCATTATAGCATTAAATTTGTGACACAGCCATGTTTGAACTCAAATTTATCATTTCATGATGGTTTTATTAGAAAATGTGGATAAATGAATATTCCATTATGGCAACTTATAGAATATAAAGGGTCAAACGTGATTATTACAATAGAAATTTCAGAGATTTCGTAGTGGAAATATTTCATGTGGCCTCGCAATTATTTTTTATCCATAATTTAATTATTCATCCATACATTCGGAAGTACCAACCTTACACTTCGATTTATTTAGCAATGAGAGAGGTGGAAATAATTAATCTAAACATAAAATCTCTTCGTTGATAAATTTTCCAAGGCTTATTTTATATTTTTAAAAATTTAGGGTCGCAAATGTGGTAATAATATGGTCTACAGAGTTATCGACGAAGTGAAATATGCTGACGATGTATCACCTAAAGTGATATGCATTGTGGAATGCACATGCATCAATGAACAGTATGAAAGGAAAAATGGACAGTGCATTGAAAAAAACAATATTACGAAACGAAACGAAGCTGAGGTCTCATTTACATTGAATTTTTGCCAAAATATATTAAAATACAGGAGAATTTTCTTGATTTTTAAAATTTTAACTAACAATTATTATAAAATTATTATGTGATAAGTTTAAAAGTTCATATTGATAAAGCGGAATGCAGTAATTCTCGTAGCGAAAAGTTCCAAAGGTTGAATGATAATGAAAAAACAGTCAGTCTTTAGCTCTAAGTTAAAATTTTGCCTAAACCCAGCACTGCGGGGGAAGAAACCTGTTCACTTGATGAAGAAATTTCCGATATTCCATGTTCACTAACTGGTAAGATGTGTGGGACCGATATGGTATAGAATAAAGTCACAATAGCAATATGTGCAGAGGCCTGGGTTTGGTTGTTTGAAGGTAATCATAATAATTAATATGGTACTTTGATGAAAACCTCTTCTTTTTTTCCTTTCCTATTTCGACAATCGCAAGCAATTGCATCGTATTTGTTCTGTCGATTTCGAATTGAACTTGAATTGTTCTTATACTTTTTCTACTTATAATGGCATTCCTTCTTTTTTATATCCATTAGTAGTAAATGATGCGAATATTTGAATTTTACTTTAATTCATTGCCAATTTGT